CGCAGTTTCTCCAAGCTTGGAGCACTGCACCATCTTGCCACATGATTTTAAACAGGCAATTTCAAAGCATGGGGAAAGACTGGGGGGCATGCATTTTGCCAGTACAGCCTTTCACCCCACATTAAAGCCCTAGATCTTGATTTTCAAAATATCTGTGATTCTTGTAATTTTTGCAAATGTCTACAAAAATGAGAGATATGGAAAAAAAAAATCAAACTTACTAGCTCGAACCTGTCTCCAAGTGAAGCCTATGTGAAGAAGGTGGATGTGCCTTGCTCCTGTTCTGACATCTGCCAACTTGGAAGATTTATGGTGATTCCTCAGTTCAGCAATGGGGAAGGAGAGGTGGCAGAAGCTCCAGATGACAGCATCCGAGACTGACACAAACCCCCTAAGGAAGGTGGTTGCCACATCCTGTTAGCAGGATGTGGCTGCTCTTCCCCAACAAGGAGTCACAGAAAATGGGTCAATGCCAAATGTGGGAGAGGTCCCACACAGGTCTCACACTTCACAGGCAGGAACAAAACCACACTTGGGACAGAGAAAGCCAAAAGGTCAGCAAATTCATTGGGTCTGCAAAGAAACTGGTGTGGAGAGAGCTAATAACTCCACTTTAAGATCTGCCTCTTCAACACTAAATATTTCAGACATACTCACCCAGTGCTGCGTTTTCACAGATGACATAAATCTGTGTGTCAAGGGAATTTACAGCAGGCCTTGGCTATGTAGTTATTGGCTATAGCAATCTCGCCCCATGCAGAACAACATTTGGAACAAGCCATCATTTACAGCTAGATTTATACATGTTTGTTCTAAAGAAATGAACTTGGCAAATCACAAATTTCCATTAAAAAAAAAAACAAAAACAACAAAAAAAAACAAAGCAGGAAGGTGGAAAGCAGACAAGACAGTTAACACTCATAATACAGAGCCTTCTAGGAAGCTGTTCTGCAGGAGCTCTAATGAGCCAGCTTCCCCTCACAGCAGCATCAAAGCAACTCACTTGGGAAGTCAAATTAGGCCTAAACAACCTCCAAAAATCCCTTTGTCCCTGAACTCTATCAAAGCTATACACCAGGATTTATTGCTCAGCTCCTTCTGTGCCAAAGCAGATGAGCAGCACAGAGCCAAAGGCTCCTGGCACCTGGAGGAAATAGAGGTGCAGATGCAAGCTAGCCTAGAACATGGTGCATAAGGACGGCACCATCACAGCCACTGGCCACCCGACTCACCCATCATGTGCAATTGGGATTTGGGACCTTTGGTCTTTTGAGTATAAAGAACATGGGTGACCTGCAAACCTGGCACCAACCAAGAACTCCAGAACTTCGTGTGGAACCTGCTCCTCTACAGTACCTTTATTCTAATTAGGGAAAAAAAAAATTCACTTTCATTGATAGCACCCCCTGTGCAAAACTGAATTCCTCGCACACACAAATGTCCCCATGTTGGGTCCCATCTCACATTTCAACAGGATACTTCTGAGCTGCAGTGAATACCTAGCGGAATGCCCTGGAGCCTGAAAACCTGCTCATGGCTACAGCAATGACAGTGGTAGCACAAGTATTGTGAGTTTGATCCATCTTGATCCATACCAGAAGAACACAAGGGAAATTTGGGCCTGCATTCCCCACCTAACTTTAAACGCTTAACAGGTTGTTCACTAACAGCCACTGCAGTCAGCAGGTAGATGTAAAGACGTCTAGCAGGCAATTGAGAGCAGGCTCGGTCTCCCTCCTTAAGGGATATATTTGCAAAAAGGAAAACCAGGCAATATCAACACCTCTCCATTAACTCCAGCGAATGCCAGCTCCCCAAAAATCAAATGTGTAAGATTAACCTGTGAGTCACAGAGAGCAAAGCTCACTATAGGTTTGGTGCTGGTTTTGAACTGCCTGTCCTTCTGGAATGAGACCTGTCAAGCCCTTCCCAACCTTGAGACACCCAGACTTCTGTCCTTGCGTGCACTTCTGTGAATGAATCATTATCAACCACACGACTGAGCTGACAGAAAAAAAGATCTGTTAGTGTAATCCCACTGTAATTTATTCCTAGCCTTTATTTTTTCTTGAATGCCACCCTCATATATAGATGCTCCCAAATTAGGCAAACCCAGACTTGTGGTAGGTGAGAACATGGCAACTTCATGTCAGGACAGTATATTCATGTGCTTATAAAGAAATACATACCACTAGCATGTGTACAATCGCTTTCAAGAGCAGATCACAGAGAATGGTTCCAAACACAATGACCAAAGAGGAAATGTTAAAAGGTGATTTGATTAACTTTAAAAACATCAGTTTATGCCTTTGTAGTATCATCCATTGAGGAACTCCCCACTGTATTAGCTAATCCACGGCATGCAAGCACATAGCTTGCAGACGGTGCGAGAGATGGACTGGTGGTACCTGCCATAAGACAGATGCTTCCCAGAGGAAAAAGGCTGAGGATCACCAAGAGATCCAGACCACTCTTCCAGACTGCAAAGGATCTGCTACACATCCTGTAGCAGGCCAGGTGGTCCAGGACACAGCACCTGGGCCTCACCTCCTCCCTTCTGCAGTTACATTTTTAACATCACTGGGTGCACTTGCGACTCCACATTTGAGTGGATTTGATTAGGCTGGCTCCTTACCCTTATCCAGCAGGGAAGCCAACACACATAGAGAGCTCAAGGCTGATCATACAGTGAGTGTTTCATCCTTCATCTGATCTTTGTTGTGATCTCTCACAGCACAGCATCATGTTATATTCAAAGATACAATTTCCAAATCAGTCCTCAAAAAGACATTGTTACCCAGGCTCTGTAGTGCCTGGGTAGCTGGACTACCTAGGCTCCAGAATGAGTAACTGAGATCAGAAGTTTTCATACCAGGGTCAGCAAGGGTCGAACTCTTCTGCTTTGGGGGCTGCTGTCATTCCCAGACCGGCGAACATGGCCCAGCAAGAGCAAAGAACCTCTACTGTTGCTTCATGGAGAAAGCATGATCCTTTCACCTTCTTTTAGTGAATATAAACTTAAGGAAATGTGCATGTTACAAATCCCATTCAATTAAAAAAAAAAAAAAAGACTTAAAATGATTTAAAAAAAAAGAGCAAGGCAATATACGCGGTTTCCTATGAGGAAGAGGGGAAAACAGCTATGACAGATGTTAGCCACTTCCTTCACGCTCTTCTGGCAGGAGCTTAGTATAATCCTTATCATATCCCCTCTAGTGAATTAATGATCAGACATATGACCCTGGCGATAAGCAGTATCCATTTAGCCACACATTACAACACGATACAACAGATGGGGACAGAAAGACTTCAGAAAGGGCTTAAAAAACATCTTCAAGGAGCTGGATTTCTTAGAGAAAAAAAAAAAAAAAAAAGACTTAAACAGACCAAGCGTTAATTAGATTCCCATAGAGGAACTGCAATTAGGGAAACTCAATGCCACAGGGTACCCAGGCAGACGCCAGCCTTACCCAGGTGCGCAATGGAGGCATCCAGCACCTTCCCAGCCGCTGCATAAATCCCTGCGTTTTTGGAGTTCAGGTTGTCAGTGACTGCTGCTACCACAGGGACCAGCACTGGGTGCAAGCCCTGCCCAAGGAGGGGCATCATGGCAGCAAGGGACTCAAGCGCTTGCTGGTTCACTTTCTTGTTGGAATCCTGAAGTCTCAGGACAAAAACATCAAAAATCTGTTAAGAAAACAAATTATATGAGAGCCAGATTACAATAGCTTTGTTTGAGAAGAGATGTGGAAACAGAAGATTCCTGCAATGTAAAAGATGAGCATAATCCTTTCCGACAGGTCAGTCCTTATTAGTGCGATCTTACTGTTTTTCCATGGGCTACTCACAATAGCAGTTGCCCAGCATCACATAGTTTTTAAGCTTTTCTTATTTTATTAGGGGGTTATCCTGGGCACAGTTCATATGCGGGTTCATTTACCTATAAAAATGACTCCATCTTAATAATGCAAAAAATCTTTTGGCATAAAGGTATGAATACAGTTATTCAAGAGTCCCATTTTTTTCACAAGGTTGTCTCAAGATCTTAGGGTAGTTTTGATTTTGCTGAGACTGGATGAAATCCAAGTTTCATTTTATCTGTCTGCCCCAGAACCTAGGGTTGGTGAAGTGCACGACTCTGATGAATTCTTATCTTTCTAGATAACAGTTAGACAAGTTTAACATGCTGTGCCAGTTCTCATTTGAGCAGCTTCAGTCTTACAACAGCCATGTTCTTGGGCAACATTTTATGGAAAAGGGGGAGGAAAAAAAAAAAAAAAAAGGTAGCTGTTTGGAGGAGGAGGTGGAAGAGGAGAAAATCCTTCCCCTAGCAGTTCGCCTTCTTCCAAAGGGCAGAACTGAGTCCAATAAGAGTGACAGTAGTCTTTCCCAAGTAGGAAAGGGATAAGGAATAGCCTGAATTGCAACTTCACAATACAAGATAAAGTTTCCACGAGCATCCTGTGTTAGGAGTTATTAACTCAGCTTGATGCTCCTCCATCCCAACCCACCCTACTCTTCTAGAAAGCAACTGTTAGCATTGGGTGAATGCATTTCCCTTGTTTTCACTTAATTAAGTGTAGGGGAGAGCAGGGGCCTACAGCAACAGAAAACTAAAACATCATACCATGCTCAGTACTAATAGACGCCTGCCAGAAAAATACATCCAGACTAGAATTACTTGCATTAAAGCCTGGAGTTGAATTAAAATATTTTTGCTAAGAAAGGACAGCCACTCCCAAATGACTGGCATGCAGTGTAAAGACAGATGCAGTTAAGCTGGCTGGGACGGTTTGGGAAGAAAACAAAGCGAAAAGGAGGATGGAGGTGCCCTAGATACCTGAACAATGTTTGCCAAGATGAGCTGGGGGTTGTTTTTGCAGTAATCTGAGAGGAGTGCAACACCCTCCATTCTTGTCTGAAACTCCTTGGCTGTCAAGAGCTGGTTAAGCTCCTTGAGCTGCTCAATCTCTTCCACTGTGCGAAGCGACGTACGTCGGACTGTCTGACGGGGTAAGACAAGGATGTCAGAGCTGGACCTTGAATTGGAAGATAAAAACAAGGTAAGACCTCCTGGTGATAACATCTTCAGCTAACTGTGAGAAAAGCATCTCAAGGAGACTTCCTAATGATGTGATTTCAGCTAGATCCTCATCTGAAAAGTGACTTTGATCTCACAGCAATCATTACAGGAGGCAACCTCCAAGTAGCATTATCGTTACTGCTCACTTGGGAAAACTGACACTGAGGATGGGATTTATCTCACTCATCTTCAGATGTCTTCCAGGTGCTCACCTAGCATCTCTATGTGAAGCAAATAGAAACTGCTTCGAAGTTTAAATGTCTCAAGGGATCTTAAGGGAGGTGCCTATTTTATAAGGAAATAGAGTGCCTTGGAGCAGTGCCTCTGTCACGGGCAATGGAAATGTGGATAAACAGCTCAGATGCACCAGAATACATGAATCCCACCCAATCCAAAGAGATTAAGGGGAAGGGATTCAGAGGATGAGTAATGGAGATGCAAACAAGTCAGGCATCCCACTAATGCTCTCACATTATTGCTTTCCTAGGAACTGATCCAATAATTTGTGGACTCAGTGGAAACTATCCCCCTGGATCATTCTTCTCTGACACATGCATGGGAAAATCCTAACCACACTTGGGGCATGTGGTCACCTTCCTGCCACCAATGAATACAGCACTAAATAAAACCACCCTGTTATCAGAGAAAAACAGGTTTGAGCAGCAATTTCTCTGGCCTGGGGAAGACAGCAACGATCAAGTTCCTATCTTCAATGCTGATCTGCAGCATGACATAAAAACATGCTATCCATCAACCACACAGTAATGGGTCTGAACAACATGAATAGCTACACAAAAAAAAATCCACATTCAGAATTAGTCAGCTAGAACCACTCAGGAATCCTCTGGCTGATGCCTTTTGAGGGTCAGAAAGCAACGATTCATCAAGGCCAAAACATGAATGAAAATGTGGCATTTTTGAGAAAGGCTTCTTAGTTGTAGACCAGCTTCTCAAAACCACTCATCTACCAAAGACCCCCCTCAGAAAAAAGGCCCTGATTGCAATGATCACCGCAAGTCAAACAGCAGAGAAGCATGACCCTTCCTTCAACAGCCTCCATTACACTAGCCTAGCCCTTGAGTTGCTTTGTTTTTTCTTCCAAGCTGCAACTGTTGCTTGTCTCCTTCTGTCTCTTGATTCTTTGTGGAAAACCCCCAGAGAACTGGTGCGTGGCCTACAGCAGAATTACATATTTATTTTTCATCTTACTATGTTTTATGGTGCAATGTTTTATGTTGGTACCATAGTACTATGGTACTATGTTTTATGGTGGATCTCTGGTACAGCTCAGTCGCATCAGAAAGATATTACTGAGTAGGAGACCTGAAAACCATGTTACACACTTCCTTAAATCTAGTGAAGCAATAAGTACCCTTTGTCAGAAGGCAAAGTGTCCTGGGATGTCATCAAACTGCTCTTCTTAGACTCCTTTCGGCCTTTGGTAGATGGAGGTTCGGATATGCGATTTTCTGTCCCCTAAATACATACATAAAAGAGCATGAATACAGATGAAATAGGAAATAACCCATTTAAAACATGGTTATAACTGAGATTAATCTTTGCTACTGGGAAAGACTTAGGAAAACCTTTCACAGCTTAGAGTGGGATTTGGGGCTAGAGGCTCTGTGATGTCCACCGAGGATTTCATTTTTAGCCGTCTAATGGAGACTGAGGTCGCTACAGTGATAGGCAATAGTATGAAAGCCTAAATGCACTAGTCTTGAGCACAAATGGGAACACCAGGACCTGATAGGGAGCAAGCTTTCATGAAGGGAATAATGAGAGATTTTTGGATTCTCTCAAAGTTGGATTGGTTATGTTCAGAATTGATCTGGCTTTCATACTCTCTCCCTCTATTTCTGCACAAAGGCACAATTCTCTCTAGACTATAAACAGAAAGGAATGAAAAACACAAATCAGGCTGCTGCACTCAGAGCTCCTTCCAGCTCCATAGGGCATGACAGCACAACAGTATTCCCAGAAAATAGACGATATACACACTAATAATAATGATTTATATCTTTCGTATTTCTGGAAATTTTCTAGGCACTACTTCTTCCTTCATCTGTTACAGAGAAGTCTAATACCTTCACATGCACTATTCCCACTTCCTTGCTGGGAGTGAGGGATTGTTTTTTATGCATGAAGGTGGAACCATCTTCTTCTACTTTCCTTCACGTTTGAGGCTGATATTTAAAATACACCCCCTTTATTCTTAGCCACAGTTGTGCCCGTCTCGACTGCCTGCTCATAAAATGGCTAAGGATCAACAGTTTGTTCTCATGAGGAAAACAATTCAGTGGAAAAAGAATGAGATTCAGGAAGAGAAAGATTGAATATCCTTAATTTCATTATTGTACTAGCAATCTCAGTACTTGTATAAAGGAGACATTTCTCCTGCCAAGCACTTACTTTCTGCTTAATTGTTGCCATAACATCTCTCAAGTCATGTGATGGGAGAGACTGTTTCAAATACCAATCAAATTTTGGATGATTCATCAATATGTTCAGCATCTTCCGTCCATAAAACCTAACACAGGGAAGAGAAATGAATGACCATTTCCCCTTCCTAGTCTTACTGTCTTCTTTGCTCATCCATGAGCCAAGGAAGAAAAGGGTTAAAAGAATAAGCTGACATTTTATACCTGCCATGGGCACTACTTCTGTAATAGCTTTATATGCATTCAGCAAAGAGAGATATTTACCTCCAGTTGTTACCACTGCACAGCGCTGCCAGCTGAATGCAGCCAGCACTGGAGGACACAGGACAACAGGAAAATGCAGTTTCACTCTCTAAAATTGTGTGCATGTTTGTGGGATGCGTGAAGTGCATCTCCTGATTTGCTGTCAGCGCTCATGTGCACTGACAGTGCACAATAATTCACCTTCCTTTCACTGGGGAGAAACTAAGGCAAATCAGCTTATGTCTGCTACTCTACTACAAGTGTAGAATGGACAGTTAGCTGCTCATGCGTTCCTGCAATCTATTAATTAGGACTTAGAGTAATCATCACAGTAAGTTATTCCCTCAGTTAGGCTTTGCTTTTGCTGAACACCGAAGTGCTCTGATGGCTGCACTGGATTTTTTTTTTTTTTAAACAAGCTACCAAACAGCAGCTGTTTTATGAGAGGAAATTTAGAAGCCATTCGGCCACAGACAGCAACATTATACAGTGGCTGGGAAAAGAAAATGCAAATATCATAGGCAACAAACTGTGGAAAGAGCTTAGGAAACTGAAAGCACTGGTTGAGGATAATGGGAAATTTTCTAGAATAGATTTAACTATACCAGAAAATGCTTGGGATCCTTTGATGATGAACAGTGAGTGACAAGTGCCAGCTTTGTATTCCACAGGTAGGACCAAAAGAAACTCTTAATCTGACTGATCAGAATAAAAACTTGTTCCTGTCACAGGAATTTGTCAATGGTCCTTCTTGCCCAACAGCCTCACAAAATATCAGACTTTTCCCCAGACAGCATTATCCACACTGGGAAGCATCTCCCTGAACATTTACTTTACCTGGTAGTCCCATGTTACTTTACATTTGTGGCCAGCCATTGAATGGTTTCCATTCTCAGGAGGCAGCCCAGGGGTGGTTACCTCGTGTCCTGGTTGCAGTCCTGGGCGAGCTTCACCAGCGCCTGCACCAGCAGCTCGGTGTTCTCGCGGGAGCCCGACAGCAGCTTCTCGGCTCCCATCTGCTCCATCACGGTCAGCAAGTGCTCGGCGGCGCACCTCCGGACAAGGACATTTCGGTGGCTGTAATGAGACAGCAAACACTCTATCAGCCAGAAAGGAGCCCATGCACAGAGACAACGGCCCGGCCCGGTGCAGATGCCCTGTCTCCTCACTGCAGCTCGAGCCAGCAGCAGACACCACCACTCCCTGGCAAACACAGGGCTGCCATCTTACAGATTGGCCACCTGCAAGGTGGCAGAGGGACTACTCAATACATTGTGTTTTTCCAGAAATTACTGACTCCAGGAAAGAGGGACATGTGAGTCAGCATGAACTGTCTTTCATCAGCTTCCACCATACACAGGAAGTGTGAGCAGGGGTAGGACTGGGGCTTCCTCCACCAATTTATCCCCAAATCTGCAGAAGCTAGAGAGCGGCAAAAAATATTAGGGAGGATGAGGCTATAGAACATCTAACAACGCAGAGAGTTTGCTCTTTGTGGCTTGGTAGCAGGCACATGTTTGAATGATTTACCCTTTTCAAAAGCTGAGAAAAGGGTAGCAGTCATTTTGGCTAGATCCTCCTTTCTACAAAAGGAGAGCACCTATTTGAACCTATCAGACACAGCACTAATATTTCCTGGCAGCATCTACTTCAGGCAAGCCCATGGGAGTGTGCCTGTGAAGGCACTCGTAAAGTGACTCACCCTCTCAAAGCCAACATTTGCTGTCAGTCTGAATGGAAAGCAAAGCCCTAATGACACGGTGTCAGGCAGACTCCTCCCTGCACCCACCACTCCCAGCCGCCCCTTCCAGCACTCCATGTCCCAGCAATTAGCCTCCTCCTTTCTCCAGCTAATGCCATAATGAGGATGCATGGAGCTTTCCCAGGGACTCTGTGGTTGCTGTTGCAAAGCATCACATATAGGAGCTCTCTGCTGGAGTTGTCCCCATTCCCGCAAAGCCACGGGACTGAACCACCATGCTCTGCAGGCACTTGCATTTCTCCATTGCTCACCACAGCACCACAGCATTGACAGACTGTGAGAACAAGCAGGGTGTAGCAGGGTAGAAGTAGACAGTTTCAGGAAGTGAACAGGATTCATCAGAGATTTCCATCAACAAAGTTACAGTGTATCTAGGAGAAACGACTCTTCCCTCCAGCCATTCCTTTTGCTTGCCTCTCTGCCCTCCTTCCTTTCCCCCTTCTCACACAATATAAGGTGAAGGACATGTCCAAAAGAACCACGTACTTGACCCCACCGGACATGAGAGCAGCCATTGCCCGTGCAGGAGTCACGCTCCCCACCATGATTCTGAGGGACTGATTTGCTGCTTTCTGAATGAATTCGCTGGAGTCTCCCGCCTTCTGGAGTAAGGTCCGAGCAACCTCCTCCACCTCCTGGTCCATGTGCTTCTTCATGGTCCTGAAGAGTTCTCCAAGAGTGCCAATTGCAAATCGAGACACCTTTGAGCGGAGGTTGTTTACCTGCAGAGATTATGAAGGAAGAAAACACAACGATTATCTTGTAAAGACAATCAATCTTGTTCACCTAGACAGAAGTTACCAGGAAGCAACAGAACATTCTACCGGATCCAGGTGGAACAAAAGACCACAGTGTGAGCAGCAGACCACAAGCACAGAAACTCCAGTACCAACTTTTTTGCTGGTCTCAGATCCGCCTACAACTCAATTTTAATAAGTTGGCAGGCCTGAGAGCGCTGATCCGGGAGGACTGCACACAATGCCTGCTGCTTTCTGTGTGATTTTACAGAATTCAGAGTTATCCCTGCCTCTGAAGGACTACTTGAGGACTACTTGAAGAGTGAAAAAAGAAGTGAGTATCTCAGAGTCAAGCATTTCATTTGAAAGATCATTTCATTTGAAAGATCCAAAGAGGATCTTAGTCTTAAACTTCCTTCTTAGGTTTCCTTCAGTCTTAGGCTTCCTTCTGCCTTAGCTGTGCTTGTTAATAAAGAGAGAACAATATAAGGGCTAGAAATGCTCATGAAAGCAACAGTTCAGACTAGAATGAAACGAAAGATGAGCCATGCCTCTGCACAAGGCAGCTTAGAACAGAGTAGAAAATTTCTTCAGAAATATAAAAATAATGTAAGAATCAGATTAGCTAATCTGATTAGGAAGGAGAGGAACGTCTTCCTCTCTTATCTCTTATCTCTAAACAAGAAAATCTGAGTCCTGAATATCTAAATAGAGAGGTCTAAAGAGGCCAGCAACACCAGAGGCATTCAAGTATCTGACATCTTCGGCTGTTGGATAGAAGGGACAGATTTACTGTCACTATTTTCTGTGAGCAAAGGATGATTTAATGTATTTGGTAATCACACATGCTAAGAGTACAAGGCAGCAGGTTCAGACCGCAAAAAAAGTGCCCATTTGGAAATACAGCCATATGTTAATCGAGGATGTTAGGCTGAGACCTCTCTGCTGACTAAGCAATGAGAAAGCAAAGGCGAGTGCAACTGCCCTGCTATTCAGAGTTGGTAGGCTACAAGCACACGGCAGCTGTACTGCAAAATCCCACCAGAGCAAGCAGACAGCACATCTAGGAAAAGGGCAAGTCTACAGAAAGTGCAGAGAGAAAGAAGAGAATTTGGGAAACCCTAGAAAATAGACGCTCACAGTCAGTCTTCTGGGACACTGAGGAAAAGGAAGTGCAAGAGAGCTGGAAGGCAAAAGCTCCAAGGGTTAATTGCAGCTCGGGCAGAGACGTGGACTGTTGCAAATCACTCACCTGGTGCCTCGGTTTCCACATTTGTATATAGCATTATAATGACATGTAGCTCAAAGAGGAGGCAGATGCACTTGCAAACATAGTTACTTATATAGACAGATCATATAGATAGGTGACTTAGCTACTAGAGAAATGAGGTCTAAAAATAGCAACAGCGGCGGACGTGGAGCACATGTGTAAATGCACAAACATGTATCTATGCCCTGTGTACGAGGTACATGGAACACAGCTAAATGCACTCCTACCTCTTTGGTCACTGCCAAGGAAACGTCATGGAGTCTGCACAGAAGGATTTCTGAGTGGCACATAGCCAGGCGTCTGATGTTGGAGAGCCCTTTTCCTTTCAGCTGCCTGAAAGGCAATTACCAAAAAGATTGATTTTTCTCACCACCCAAGAACTAGGCTGCACCCTCCAAAATTACCGAGGTGGGGGTTCAAGCAAATAAAGGGAGGCACTTCTCACATAGCACTTAATTAAATTGTGGAACTCGTTGCCACCAAATGCTGTGGCGGTCAAAAGCATACATAAATCCAGAAGGCAATTAGATGGTTTCAGAGTGGACGGGTTCATCTGTGGCCGTTAAACAAGACAGCCTTCCTGAAAGCCTTGGCACAGCAAGTCCCTGTGCTACTGCTTCCCAGCAGCTTGGAGTCTGCATCATATTTCCCCATTTCTTGCACCTTGCCTGGATGGCATCCTCTGACCCATGTCACTCTGGGTGCTTGCATACTGCAAGCCAGTCCAAAAAGAAAAAAACTAAAATAACAACAACAACAGCAAAAACAGTATGTTCTGGGAGGTCCCACAATTTTAGCAATTTTTTTTTTGTGAAGAACCAGAGCTAGATGAAGGTGCAGTAATGACCCAGTGTTGCCCCACAGTGGCATCCTTGCCAGGAGACCCAGAGGGCTGCAGGGCCAGGCTTGGGTCATGGGGGTGCAACCCCACCCCTGCAGCAGGCACCGTGCTGCCAGGACATGGTGAGGGCAAGAGGGGCCAAGTCAAGTGGTTGTGCAAGGCGCTGCATCACAGACAGCTCTTCTGGTTCCTCCAGTGTGACCAGAGCCCCAGTGAGCACATGCTGACCCAGGAGTCAGGAAAAAGGCCAGCATCACCTGAAACTCACGGCCATTTGGTCAGTGCCCCATTTCTCCACACCCTGTGGCTATCAACAAAAGCACCTTTGTTTGGCCCATCTTGAACAGCGAGGAGGAAAAAGTTTCATTCTAAGAGAGCAAGAGCCCCAGGAGACTTTTTCGTTTGGAATTTTCTTCTGCCGGGAGCCCACCAGGTGGACGGACAAGCAGAGCAGCACTCTGCCCTCCTCAGCCTGCAGCAATAGAGACCCCGCTGCGACTTGCTGGCGCAGGAGGTCCCTGCAGCTGCAGCAGCAAGGGCCCCTTCTCCCACCGCTCGTGGCAAGGGCAGGCAAGGGAGCCAGCCGGAGCCTTTCCTTACCAGTCGCTGCTGCCGAGCCAGCTCAGAGCATCGCCCAGCCCCTGCTCCGGCTGGCAGAAGGGTCTCGCCACCACCACGTCCCCGCAGTCAAGCTCCTCTCCCCACTCCAGGCAGCCCAGGATGATGGCTGGCAGTGAGTTCGCTGTGGGAAGAGGGAGGATCACCATCCAGCCACGCGCCTCGAGCTGGCCGCATGGCGCTTCCTTTTCATTTCAAGAATTCTACATAGTGGACAACTGAGCGCGCATTCATTCTGACATACTACTGGGAAAGCAGTAGTTTACGGATTGCACTGTTTTCCAAGCGCTATGAATATTTACTATTTCAGAGTTACCCGCCAGCTCTATTTCGAAGATGCTGAAGGGAAATTTATTTGTCATCAAATGTATTTGTTTACAAACTGTGTGGCACCTAAGCTTTCTCTTGTGGAAAAACGCAATTTCTGGTCCAGATAGTTGTGACAAAAAAGCCTTCCAAATGTGAATTGAGGATAAAAATATGTAAATGTAGATGCAAATTGCTGGCAAATGCACTCACTTGATGACAAATATACAAGGTAGAAGAAAATTCAGAAGACAAATGGGCTTGTTATGAAACCTATTTTTCATCAGATGTACTATAGGTCAAAAAAAATCATGTCTTGCACTCAAAAGCTCATTTTTTAAACTATAAATGAAAACAGCTGAGTTGTCTAGCAGTATCGAGTCTAAATATTGCCCAGAATCTAGATGAACTGGTATGGATTCTACAGGAACTTTATGCTATCTAGAGTTTTTCTGTGTTCCACACAACATGGAGAATATATGTAAAATCCACAGGGTCATTTCCAAAATAGGAAAATAATTGTGACCAGGCTGATGTCACTGGTAATATATAACTATATGCATAAACATAAATATGAACAGCTAAAAGGAGTGGAGAAACACATCAGGTCAGACCTGGTCGTTTTTGAAAAACAGTCCTGGGCAGAGTAGTGTCCCTAGAAGGCATCATTCAAAGCTTCCTTCCTAGCTCCATATTTCTTAGATCATGATACTCGAGATCATAACACAAATGTAAGCTAAACAGCAGCAAAGGGGCTGGGAAGTTGAGGATGCACCTGCAGCTGCCTCCCCTTTCATGCCACCGGCCAGGCCCAGCACCAGCATTGCAGCTTCGGCTTCCACGTGGGCAAAGGCTGGAGCTCCAGGCTCTACCTGGCTGAGCTGGCCCGCCAGCAAGGCTCACCTGAGGCATGGCGTGCGACGCCGCCGTCCTGGCTCGCGGCCGGGATGCTGGGCAGCGATGGCCGGGGGACCCGCTTCCTCAGCGCCATCCCAACGCCGGTCCTGCCCGTGCTGCTCATGCTAGCCGAAACAGGCACCACCCCGTTGACTTGCATCCCAAAGCCTGCAGAGACCAAAAAAGACCTATGAATCTGGAGCACTGGGCAGGATGGATAAGGGCTTGGAAATGGCTAGGGGTACCTTGCTGGAGCTGGAGCAACATCCTGCACAGCACCGGCCCCAGCAGCTGCACGCTGACCAGGGGCAGCGGTTGCAGAGGGCAGTGGTGCTTTCCCTGAGGGGTGAGGAAAATCCAGCACCACACTTCCTTTGCTGAGGACAGCTGCCTTGCTGAGGCTCCCAGCTCCTCACCAGCACTTCATGGAGCAGTAGCAAGGAAAAGAACAGACAATCTTGTCCCGTGCCCTTGGGCTGCGTGCTGACTGGTAACTTCTGTGCAGCCACGCTCTCGGTAGTGTGTGCTGCAGCACAGCCAGCGCCATCGGTCGCAATCAAGCCAGCAAGAGCAAGCCATGCGCCCGTGCGGTAGAACGCGCGCGCTCTGCAAGGGCTCCCACCCGGCTCCCCTGCGGGGCAGCGTAAGTTGTTCCACCACGTGAGCCGTATCATCTCTTGTGTTTCAATCAGAAATATTTAAACTTCAATTCTTTCAGGCTGCAGCTTGTTTAAAAAGCATTGCTTCGGACTCATCCTTTCATCATTGGGCTGGGCTCAAATATAGAGTCTGAAGCTCAGATGTACCTGGCAGGGCAGAATTACCCATCCAAAAGACTTGCTCAGAAAAGAGAGCAGAAGGCAATCTATATTCTGCCAACGACTCACTGTGGGCTACTGGGTCAAGGCACTTTAATGCCTCCTTGTTTTTATTTGGAAAGTAGAAATAAACCACATTACAGCTTCTATTCAGATCTGTGCAGTGCAAGTACAACGGCCTTTGAGTTTAGTTTCGTAGTCACCGGCACACCATGCAAGGGACAAACAAGTGAACAAAAAGACCCGCAGCTATCGCAACCACTTACCTTCTTCATCAGCACCCACAGGGTCAGTGCTCTGCACGTGGAACTGCAAGGACTTCTCCTTTTCTCTCTCTTTCTCCCTCTCTACACACAAAAGCTCCATCTCTCTCATTTGCTTCTGGCGCATCTTCTCCTGAGCTGACTTTGATATGGTAACATGGATCTAGTCACAAAGGAAACACAGTAGGGAGTGAAAAATGACTATGCATGACACTAAGTGGGAATAAAGTGGTGGAGAGTCGTGTCTTTAATGCAGTTCCACATACATCTTAATAGACATAGTTTCTCCTCTTCCTCCCCTCAGCATATAGCTATACCCAGTGGTGTAAACCACATAATTCTCATACCCTTCCACTGCTCCAAGTCACTCTTTCTGAAGCTACATCAAGCTACATCCTGCTGGGACCAAGAGGCCCATAGGAACACTCCAAGAGGTATCAAGAGCGCACAGCACCAGGGAACTGCCCACGGAGCAAACAGGAGAGTAAAAACCATCTTCAAGTACACACAGCCAGCAATGAAAGGTAACCTGCTAGTTCCTAGCTACGGAAAATGCATGCAGCCAGTATTTGCAGCAGCTTCTCACTTCTCTGCTGCTGAAGCACACAGCTGCTGTCACAGAAGATGCATGAGCCCAGGAGTCAAGTGAACAAAAGTTTGAGAAACATTGGTCCAAATGAACAGCAAAAGAGCACTACAGGTTTGTGAGAAACAGCAAGAAAGGTGAGCAAGGAAAAGCAAGTTTTCCTGTGCTATTTAACAGTGTTGCTTATGCTCTGCATCATAATCTTTGCTTCTGCCTCATGAGCACACACTTGGCAAGCGCTCATTGATGCGCAACTTGCTCTGCCATTCGTATCCTTATAGATCCGCCTCTGCAAAAACAGCACTTCTTTCTTAACCCTAGCGCCACCTCCCAACCAACAGCTCCTGCACATTGAAAACACACAAACAACTACTCATTAGCCGTAAAAGATTCCCCCGTAAGACGATATTTTTTCCCCTCATATTTTGCGCTAAACCCTGAACAATCACTGAAGAGCAAGTGTCCTTTTCCCCCATCCTTAGCCCTTACCCTTCCGTTCCTTTCCTTCCAGTCATTGTCCCCTAGGAGGCCAGGGCTCCCGAGATAGTCCATCCCTGTGGCACAGCTGAGGGAGACGCCTGGGAATGGCGACAGAGAGTCGGACAAGTGGCCGGCAGGCTTGGCACCCTCAGTGGCACGGTGGCAGGGAACAGGATGGATTGGCTCCAGCGTCCAGGGCTCTGGAGAGACAGGAACATACATTGCCTATGAGAACAGTGAGCAACATTTAGCACCTCCCAGCCCAGATGTCTGGGATCCTACCTTGTGGCACTGGCCACAGAAAGGGCATTGCTCCCTTGGCCATCATATCCAAGCCGACCGGACGACAAAGATCTGGGTCATCAGCTCCCCGTGAGCTGCTATATGTTTTTGCTAAAGAATAGTGGTGGGATAAGGAAGCCCCTTGTCAAAAAAAAAAATCATTCTATTCTGATTTGAGTAAGCATCCCTTTTTCCCCCACTGCTAGGGAATCTCCTGTTTATTTGATAGCTACATGCCCTTGCAGAGGTAGGAATCAGTGTATCCTCCCCTTTGTTGGACATTACAAAGACATTTGAAGAAGAGCTCAGGATTGCCAGAATATTAACAAAAACAGAATTTTGCTCTCGAGGTTGGAATTCATTCTCCCGAAGCAGATTCATTACAGATCGTAGCAGATCAGCCCACTTTCTGAGCAGTCTTGCTAACGGCTGATTTTCTTAATGAGAACAGTACAGTGCAGTTCATTCTGAATTACTTTCCAACAGAACTCAGAGAGCTAATCATTCCATGCATGGTTTCACAGATGATAAAACCATGTGAAAGGCAAGTAGTAAAAAAAGGAATAACTTCTTTAAATCATGATTTTTTTTTCCTACTGAATAGTCAGGTTGATGAGAGACAGCGAGAGAGAGAGGGAAAGATAAAGAAAACAGCTCAACTGCATAGCTCACTGCTAGTCCAGAAAGTATCCAGTAAAAATGCCACCTTACTTACTCAGCAATTATTCTCCCTAGTTGCATTCAGCATCTTAGCTGCTTACCAGCAATAAAGTAATCATTACTGTAGCGTATGCTCATTATTTGGTAGAGCCAGAGCTGAGAGACCAGCGGATGTTATTCTTTTTTTTTTCTGTATCAGCAGAATTATTTGTTAAATTCCCATCTCTCCCAGAGACGGCAAATGGAGGTGTCGTCAAAGTTTTCAGCTTGACAGCAATAGGTGACACAGGTGTCACTGACACCCTATCCTGTTGTGTATGACTCCTATTCCTAGTGATGATGCAAGGAAAAAAAAACAAAACCAAACCACCAGGCATCCCAGAGCCCTGCCTGAATTTGCAAGGCTGCTATTTGCAGATAAAGTAGAGGGGAGATATTTGTAGTAAGAAACTCAGCAGATGTGATCTGAGGTAACAGAAATATAGAAAGGAAGCCTCAGTTTGTTATTCAGCATTTAATTTAGACCTGTATTTTAAAAAAGGTTGGAAAGCTCAGTTCACATGACTGCTCCAGAGTTGGGATCCTTATTTAAACTTCTTTATCTGTAAATGGAAAAATCATAAGGACTTTCTATCCCATGAGGGATTTTACATCTTCCGATGTAAAAACAGGGAGTTCATGAGTGTGCTTCAGGTGTCAAAAGGGTTTAGTTCAGGATCAGAGACTGCCCTGGATAAAGGCTTTCTTCAACTGCAGGAGGAACAAGCAGCAGCATTTCTTACTTTGCATGAAATGCCTCGTTTATCTCCAGTCTTTCTGATATTAGGAGGCAATTGCAGAGAGACAGGATCTACAAGCACAGCGAAGAACACAGGCTGAAAGAGTTCGAGGAAGAGTTTATTCTCCCACAATGCATTTTGGGACCCGCAGGTAACCTTCTCAACTTCACATACTGGATTCATTTCTACTCAAAATGCCAGAGCACTTCTCCAGGGACTAGGTCTGGGATGATCATCCGAGTGCCTTGACTAATTGCACAAGGTGGCAGAAAGGTTTTCAACTGGACATTCACAGTGACTGTCACTAGCTAGAAAGTCTGTATGCATTTTAGCACAAACATGCCCTGCACTTACCCAGAGGTTCAAAGGTCTTCTCCTCAGTTCTGCTGCCTAATCTTGGCCTTCAGAAAATTGAAGGAAAAAAACATATGAGAAGACATGAAGAGAAAGGGCGTAGCTTTAACAAAGTTTTAACCCCACTTCCTTAGCAAGGCCACCCCAATGAAGAAGCAAACATAACTCGTGAAACCAACAATATTCAAAATCACAGAATCACAGACTGCTTGAGGTCAGAAAAGGCCTTTAGAGATCATCTAGTCCAACTTCCCTGCTCCAGCAGGGACACCTAGAGTATGTGGCACAGGGTCACATCCAAACGGGTTTGGAAGATCTCCAGAGAAGGAGACTCCACAACCTCTCTGGGCAGCCTGTTCCAGGGCTCTGTCACCCTCACAGGAAAGAAGTTCTTCCTCACATGGAGGTGGAACTTCCTGTGTTTCAATTTGTACCCATTAAATTTATGGTTTGTAGAGTCACACAAGGAGCTAATCTAGCTCCGATTTAACATGTCTCACAATCTTCAATTTGGATTTTAAATATCCAGCTCTGCTGCCTGCTTGTTGAGCTACGTGGATCTCACTTTACTTACAGCCTTTCTGAATCAACAAGGGTTGTTAAGCTTTGCCTGGAGCCACTGCACTCAACACACTCTTACACTGTTATAGAAGCCTAGCTTTGCCTGGTCATGACTTAAACAGATGACAGTATGTTATTAAAAACGGCAATACCACTGCTCTCCTGAGAATAAGATTACACTTTCCTGCTTTTTTATTTTTTCAGAGTAGTGGCAAGGAGGTCCAGCTCAACTGATGGGCAAGTACACTCAGATTGCACTTTAAAAGCCATGCGGATACCTTTAAACTGGAAAAATATTTCTATGGCTTCTTATTTATTATTATAGCTAGTATAAGGTTGACAGCTAGATTTCCCCATGCAGGTACAAATGACTATCTTTCCATCCAATGAGTACCAGCCATATAACTGTTCTCCAACTCCTTGCTGCTATGATCTTAAAATCTTATGCAAATATTAAGACTCCCTGAGTCTCTGAGAGAGAGATGTATATCTGTGCTTTCATCTCTCAGCGAAGGTCTGGCCACAGAAAAGTTACGACCAACATTTACAGAAATGGCATTTGAATTTGGTAGATGGATTTACAATTGATATACTATCCCTAAAATTCTTGCTGGTGCAGATACCTGTTGCCAAAGTCCACCCAACAAAAACCAAAGGCCATATTCACATAAAAACAATACAAACTTCGTGTTGCCTAAGAAGCAACCCAAAGATTACAGAACGAACCAGCATGAGAGACCAGACCCATAAGCACTGACCCCTTGCTCTTTACACAGTTAGTTTTGACATCAGGTTGGACCACTATTGACACCAATAAGGCCAGCACGTATGCATAAGTTTGTATAAATATACTAATTATTAATATATACAATGCTGTGAGCGAGGTGAGTTGCGCCATGTACTGGGGAGGGGTCCCCTGGTTAACCTCGCCTCCAGGGGCTCTCGTGAGGGTGGCTCTGGACAGCCCCGGGCAGGCCCCGCGACGCTGCTGGTATCTCCATCCCACGCGCTCACTGACCTGGCGATGGGGGGAACCACAGACGCCGCTTGCAGCTTCCTCACTGCCTCCTCCTTCTCCTGCTTGCTGCAACACCAGGGCTGGAGGCGAACCTGGGAACAGGAGAGCCCAGCGGTCAGGCCGAATGTCACCATCTCCCCTCGCCGCTTGGGCAGACCCGGCCAGCCCAGCTGGTGCACAGAGGGGAGCATCCTGCAGCAGCAGATGAAAAGGGGATGCTTTTGCCTCTGACATCCGTTCTGCTGGTACCAGCAGATTTAGATTGTGGTCCCCTTGCTATCTCTAAAGCACCTACCAGCCATTGCTCAACTCCAGCCAAGGCCCACAGTGTCATTTTGCATCCTTTTAAAACCCACTTTGCTCCAGTCCATAATTCTTTCTCTACTGTTGACCTTCCTACAGTTCTTCAACTGCCTCTCAGCCCATATGTTCACATATTTTTGGGATCCTAGGTGCTCTCCAGCTCCCACAATTTATCACTGCTGGCTCTCTGTCATTTATGAAGTTTGGCAGCACTCTCTCCTCTGCTGAGCTGTGTAGCACCTCTCTGCCTGCTGAAATCACTTTGCCCAAAGCCACCCTGTACCATGGCTATGAACAGGGACAGATGGAGCAGGCAGATGCACTCACCTTTCCTTAATGTCTTCTTGTTCTGTTCCTGGCCAAAGAACCAAGCCAGGACATGTTTAAAATCCAGTGAAACCAACAGAGCTAATATCAGGGATACATTTGGCCCTGTATCTGCAAGGCTGAAATAAAGTGCACTGACCTGTTACTGGTTTTCCTATTTACAAAAGCTGTTATTCACCACCCCCTTCCTGCCTAACGTAGCAAAAATCAAAACAGCTGCAACTCTTGTCACTCCTGCAAAGCCAAACAAGAGAGCAAGGTCTGGGCTCTGTTCCCGATGGCCAGAACTGCCTGTTCCAGTTACTTACACCCATGCAGACCCATGGAAGGAGACAAAGCTGCTCGGGGAAAGCACTGAGCCATAGAAACATCACTAGAGGTCATGGTACAGGACTTGACTGTGCCTAGAATTCCCAGAGGAGTTTGCATTTACTGCATTGTGCAGGCGCTTAACAAATAGGCATATTCTACTAACTATAGTGATATGTGCTTGGCCAGGTTAGGTATATTTGACTGGTTGTTGGTATTTTCCTCGTCATAAAACACAAGAGGAGCCACTAAAGAATGCGGAAGCTATTTAGAGGAGTTGCTCTATTCATCTACACTGGGGACATGAAGTCTGCGGTACGAATGCTATAATCACAACCTGGTGCTCAGCGCCTTTGGGTCAACTGCCTCCCTGGACTTGCATGTGAGGAAGAACTACCTGGGAACACTGCCTACGTGCCATAAACAGAAGATCCTCCAAGCTCATCTTGGGCAGTTTTGCTCACTTTTACTTCCGACACCAGCCTCTCCTGGCTCTCATCACTGCCTCTGCCGTTTGTGCCATCCTCCCAGCCCTTTGGATCCCCATTGCTCACCTCACCAGTTTCAGGGGACAGGGGACGTTGTTGGATGGGTGGCACCGGCTTGGACTTTACCAGGAGCCTCTGGGAAGCCGACCTGGGCACAGCTGGCTTCAAGAAAAGCCCCACAGGGTCACTGCTGTCCAAGAGGCCTGCGAAGCAGAGACACCAAGCACAGGAAAGGCAGTGCTTCACATCCAGCACACCTGAAGCTGGGTCCTACAAGGGCAGATTTCTTGGAAACTTGTAAATAGCTGCAGGGGGGCGCGCAGGCTCCAGCATTACCTCTGCGTGACACTAACAGGCCCTCGGACATCCTCCTCTTCTTCAGTTTGTCTTTGATCCGAGTGGTCTCTGTGACGGTGCTGCTCACCTCCCTTTCTCTGCCATCCTGCATCAAGGTTGGGCTGGGGAGCTGCGAGAGGTCACCTCTGGCCCCGGCGTCGAGGTTTTCCAGGCTACTCTTGCCGTCTTGGCCCCCCAGAGGAGAAATGGCCCTGGGATATGGAGGCCTCCAATCTCCACCCCATGGGCAAGGCTGCTTTTTCCCCTGGGTATTTAATACCGGCTGAAGAGAAGCTGCAGATCAGGTGGGAGGAATAAGTGGAGTTAGTGAACCTCACATCTTTATCATCAATCCATCTGAGGAGTTTGAGGCATTCATTTTTTTAATCACTAAAATGATTGATCATTTTGTTCTTATTTTTTTTAAACTGCCATCACTTTAATTCCTATGAACCTTACTGAGCTCACAAGCCAGGAGAGAGAGGGGGTAAAAAAAATCTCCACCTCCAGGCCTTGATTTCTGTGAACACTGCCACTAAAATCCAAAGAGAGTGCTGGTATTTATGCCAAGCAGAAGGGACTTCTGGCAACAAGAGCTACAGCTGGCAGAGAATTAGCCTTACAGATGCTTTTGGCTGTGGATAGTTCTCTGAAAACATCATATCAGTCCTTAGGCAGGAGTTAAGGGAGCGAAGTACAGGAAGGAATTAAATCATAACATATTGCTGTGTACCTGTACTTTAAACACTTGGAAAAGCTCATTTACTTCCTTCCCTCAGAAAGGTAAGGTAAAATGAAAAACACACCAAAAGAGAGTGCTGTAGCAGGTAATTAGAGAGTAACTGAATTCTCCCCTTCAGAGAAAAAAAATATCATAAAGTCTGTGGAGAAAGCAGAGCTGGGAATGCTTATCCAATATTTCAAATGAGACTAAGGGGCATCCAGTGGAACGGGTGTCAGTCCAACTAAACCACAGTCAGAAAGGCTTAAAAAGACAAGAGGAAGCTCTTTTCATACAGCACAACTGAACTACAGCACTCATTTCCACAAGATGCTGTGGGCACCAGACGTGCGCACTGTAGCCAAGGGCACAGAGGTGTTAGACGCAGCGGTCCTGATACCCGTAGCTCCTCAGGTCTCTGCAATGCTGAACCCCAGTGGCTGTGAGGAGAAAGATTTGCCCTTGTTCTTCTATATCTGCTCAAGTATCTCCTCCTAAACTGACTCCAAGGTCTTGGAGGAACCATTTGGGCCTTTTGGTCTGATCCAGGGTTGTTCTTGTGCAGACAAGAGAGGCATCTCAGCAAACAGCTAAATGCTGCCAGTGTTTCTCCAGCAGCGTCCCATCCTCAGAGTCAGATCTGACAGGTGAGCAGAGAAAGAATTGGGGAATTTACCTAGGGCGAGTCCACACATCAATATCCAAGGTAGAAACAGAACCAGCACCTCATTACAATGCCTGATTTATGGCCAGTTGGGCCACAGTCTCCACTCTGGCTGTCAGGAGTAATCATTTGGCAACTGCTGTGCTCTCGCAACCAAAGGATAAATCGTAATGAACTTCGAGTAGATAAATGCAGTGCCAAGCATGCTGCTGGAGGAGGGCAGGATCATCTGCGGCTCTCCATCAGCAACATGCTCTGATACAGAGCCAACACCTTCAAGGACTGCTTCTCCTTCCAAACAAGCTCTCCTTTCAGCTAAGGCCACCATCACAGTCAGCCCCTTCCTGCCCTCACCTTCTTCTGCTGTAGTCCATGTGCTGCCACAAAGCTGTAAGTTGGAATCGATGCTTCCTCCTTGCAGTGCTCGGCATCCGGGTTTGACTTCAGGGACGCTCCCGCGGTAGACAGCAGCTGGGGCATGGCCCTTAGCTTTAAAATAAGGACAGTACCAATGATCTGAATTCGGAGCATTTGAGAGAGAGAGAGGGAACAAACAAACCAACAAACACTACCACATACCCCTTTTTTCATATCAGTTTCTGACATGCCAGCATAAACATAAGCTCTGGCCTCTGCAAAGGCCTCAGTGTGGACAGCAGTGGCCATGCTGTCCAATGAGAGACTTATGTTTCACTTTTTGGCACCTGCATAATCTGCAGAATTACATAAGTTTTGCTTGTTGCCTATCCAAGGCCACAGGACTTCTTTCCTCTCCTTTCTAATAATCCCCAATTGTCTCAACAATTTGACAATGACCAGTAATTGTATGCTTCCCAAAGCTAGTTCAAATGTCCCAAATTTTCTGTAATTCCCACCCAAGTTTGTTGGTTGTTTTTGTAATTTCTGTACACAAGAAAAAAGTTACTAAGACACAAGAAATTAATCACTAGTTTTTATAACTAAAGAGAACTCTGTTAGTCATCTCCAGTATTTAGATGAGGTAACCACTGCAGTTTACTGAATGTAAACCGTTCATCAAAAGTTTCTACTTTGTTCTGTTTCACTGTACTGAGTTTTATTCCCTTTCTTTACTGCAGAGACCACAGTCATCATCTCTGATGATGGTGATGGACACCCTGCGCATGACTCACTGCCCCACGAGCAGCAGTGGTGACCTCAGGCACAGCCACTCTGGACTAATATCCTCCAGGCAAAGGCAGCAGGAGTGGGATTGCAACAAATCCCGACCACGGCACTAACAGTGAGGGTGCTCTGGTCCTGTGCAGACCTTTACCTGCTGTGAAATCATTGTGTGTTGCCATGCGCGCGCGCAGACGAGCCCTTTGCAGCTGGGAGGCTCCCTGATGCGGTGCCCGTGACTGGCCCGCAGGCAGCTGCTGGTGGGGTTCCTGCGGCATGGGATACCTGCATGAAAAAACAAGGCTGCTAGATACTGCCCGCTGGCATCTCCCTCCCAGCCTGTGGCGACTTATCTGGGGAACATGGTATGACACCGCTAGAGTCAAGCAAAATTTAAAACCAATAGCACAAAAATGTTATTTAAAAAAATTACATTTTCCATGTGCTGTCAAACTTCCAGCCAGGAAGCCCAAATGCTCCCGGGAGACTGTCACCAGCAGAACGGGGGCGAGCGCGACTCCCACGGCAGGCGCTCCAGCACAGCTCATGGTGCTTGGCTCCACTGCAGCCTGCGGGACCTGCTCCATCCAGACCACGGCTCCTGCCGCAGCTGAGCCAAAGGTTTCAGTCCAACAGCAATGAGCCAAATGTGTTCCTGTTGTAAATCGGCAGTACATGGAGAGCAACCAGATCACTGAGGAGCAAAATCATTCCCTGCTTCCAAGAGGAACATACCTGTGCTTTAAGGGAGTGAGCTGGAACATCTGGCTACCAGCACTGGATACCTCTTCGTAACCATTATTCAGTTTGATAAGCAAAAGCTGTCCTGAGCACCTTCCACCAGTCTGCACGATTTTTTTTTTCCCAATAAGAAGGAGTAGATAATGTTTTATGATACCTCTATAAGTAATTCAGAGCTACAACTTGATTCATAACCTGAGTACTTCCAAATGTATCAGCCATTAGAGAGGAAGGAAAAAAGCGCTTGAAACAACTGCTGTTGTTGAAACAATTGCCTGCATTTATGGTGTAACTGAGGTGTATATAACAGTTACAACACCTTGGAAAGCCTGAGGCTACAACATGACCTACATTTAGGGATCCTAGCAACCCAAAAGCTCTATGCATGCTCACACATGCAATTGCACTTCCCAAGGACTATTGAAGCTATATGCCATGTTATAGCACGCAGGGTTTACCGGGATAACGGAAGTTTATGATTAGTATTTAATGTTAGTGCTATAGCAAAATGTTAACCCTGGTCAGCTTCAGGTCCCTGTAGCCCCTGTCCTTACCAATATGGCTGTTTTCACTCCAAAATGCCTTTCACCTGCTGACTGAGACTGCAGCTACCATACAAAGCTTCGGCTTCCTTAAGCATTTCAGTCTGTTTCTTATAATCTAATTGGAGAGGTAAAAGGAGATTTTCCAGGTCATACCACACTGCCTCTTTATTTTAAGGTACACCAGCAGTCAAAATTCCTATAAACATCAGTGGGACCACAGAGACCTCAACGTGAACTGGAAAACCCCACACGTAGAGATCTACAATGCTCTGGAATAAGAGTTTCTACCACCTGGCAGCCTAGTGCAGACAAAAGGGTTAACCACACATAGTTCATTTAAATAGAAGAACTATTACAGAAGAGAACATGCCTCTTAGCTTGGTGGAAGAAGCAAAAGCAGGTGCATACTCATGTATTCTTTCAGCTTAAAACAAATAACAAAAAAATGCCTGTGCAAGGATTTTAAGCACCCTACTATCAATCAAACTTACAGTCAGCGAAAATGGCACCCTCAAGCTAAATACAATAGAAAATGTTCTTATTACAGCTCAACCCAGCACAGCTCCACCCCCTGCCTAAGGCATTTAACTCTTCTCAGAAGCTTTCAAATGCTTCACAATGCCTTCAAACTTTTACCTAGAATAAAGCAAGTGTTTTCAGATAGCCTGGAGACAGTTAACTCACTTCTGGCTTTAACCAGACTAGAGACACTCAAATAGTCAGCTTAAAGTCAAGCACTGAAATCCTAGATGGTTAAAGGATTTTTAGCGTCTAATTCCCACTGCTTTCAAAGAAAGATGGGCACTTACCATCTTCAAAAATGTGATGTTAGGTTTATTTGGCACTGCATACATCATTAAAAAAGAAAATATACACACACAAGGAATAAGGGGTATCTTTGTATCCTTGTGAGAGGGAAAGTGTCTGAGAGAAATCAGTAATCTGATGGGAGTATTATAATGTAAGTTAGGATAGAAGGCTGCCGAAAGCATCGACTTGCTCTATAATACAGGTCTCTCCATGACTCAATTTTATTAATCTGCAAGGTTGTTCTAGTAAACCCTGGCATACTATAAATCATAATTAGGAAGGGCATCACTTACAGCATTTCCATAGCCCTTGAACTGGCTGAAGTCAGGACACAGTTCCTAATTCAGACCAGTTTTACATGATGCGGATAACCCCAGATGTACTGCTATTCAGGACCAGCCCATTCTCCTTGGGCTGGAGAAACTCAAGAGAAAAGGACAGAAGATTGCAGGAATCATTGTAGCTGCAATAGTGACTGCAGAGCAATTTCCCTGCAGTCAGATGTGCAGGATTCAGCTCCTATCACTCGACACTGCAGAAAATGAGCTGGTGGCCTTCTCTGTACCTGAGAACAAGAGCGACACTGGTTCAACACTGTGTGAGAAAAGCTGTTAAAAAAAAATGTCTTTATAAGGAGGAAAAAATGGATCACAGTTGTAGTTGAACAGCTGCAGCCCACGTAGTGGCCTGGTCAGCAGGTGATAACTGCACTCCTTCCCCTCTTCTGCTGGCTTAATCAGAAGGAAATACATCTTCAGGGATTTCCATCTTCTTTGGATTGTTAGCACCCAGTAAACAACAGTGGAGATTATTTAACACCTTCATTACTTAGTTTCTCAGCTAACAAAACATTTTTCTGGTGGCTTCCCAGTGCTGCAAACATACCATGACACTGTGATAAACTTGCTGACTCCGGCAGTCCTGTAGAGGCTCTCCAGACTGGTCTTTCCTGAGACCAGCCTTGAGGATGCAACGAAATGGCAGCAATGAGGGCCATAATGCAGCTGTAGCATAAAGTTTTTACACAGAGGAAAAGAGAAAACACCCAAAGACTGCAAGACAATGACAGTGCAGATCTGTGTCACTGGTTGCATCTTCCTTTCCTCTGAGTGCACTGACAGCGATCCATGCGGCGCCTGCAGGTTTCTTGCCTGCTCATCCTTCAGGCCAGTGTGCAGAACAGCTGCCAGGTGCTGGTCACACCACTTCAGGAAGCCTCCAGTCCCGATGCTGCTCCAGGGAGATGCTCAGTGTCAGTGCTCTTGTCTCGTTCAGCATGATGATCCACGGATGCATACCTGGGACCACACATTCAAAATGCACCTTCTCTTAGCAGGAGACTCACTGTTTTGAAAAATTTTTGGATCAGCCAACCTGTTTCGTCAAATAGTGAGCGCACATGACAGGGAAATAGCATTAAAAAATTTGAATGCCACCAACATGGGCTCTTCTTAAAAGCTGTGCTCTTCCCTATGGAAGGAAGGTACATCTTTCATGGGAAAGATCTTGAAAAACGAACACTCCCACCGAGAGCTCCTGCAAGGGTTGCTTTTCAGCAGAGCAGGGGTGCCCAGCCATGAAACAAGAGTTACTGCAAACAGAGGCTTGCCCAGGGCAGCACACCAACCCTTCAGAATATGTTGCTCCGGATGCCAGAGCTCATTAGCTCCCTCGGTGGTAACCCAAAGGCCGGGGACAATTGCCCGTTCCAGCGCTAATGAGGTGTCGCGCTGGCCGCCGCGGGTGCCTGTGCTCTGCCTGCCGCGCACCCTGACCGTCCCATGGGAGCTGCAGCCGAGCACTGGCGCTCACCACGGCACGGCGACACAGGCGCCACGGGCACCGGGGGCTACAGGACACAGCGGGACCACAGGGCGCCGGGAAGCCTGACGCAGCTTGCCTGGAGCAGGACCTCTGCTGAACGTGTGAGTGGCCCCCTCGGCATCAAGGCACCTCAAAGAAAGCTCTTAAACTGCGTACTGTTCACCCCAAGAGGAGCCTCGGGGTATTAATACTGCCGTGGTGGATTGCACTGGTAAAAACCATCAGCAGCTGCTGCTTAGAGAGTTCAGGGTCTTGACCGAGCACAAAGGACTTTGCATTAAAGGACTCAAGAGTGGGCTCTAGGTGCTGGACATGCAGGCAGTTCCTGCCAGGGTTCTGCTCACTTGCTCCCGCACTTGCTGCGGGCATTGCGTGGTTGAGACAATTTATCCATAGGATAGCTCATCTCTCTCAGTGCCTTTCCTTCTGTTGCCTTGAAAAGCGTGGTCTCTTTCCCCAAGTTCCTGTGCAAGTCTTCTACTTGCTGGAATGAATATAACATGCTCACAGGTGGTATGCTCCCAGCAGGGCCTCAGGACTGGACCACACACCTTTCCTGGAGGTGCAGACAAGCTCCGACAGCAGCAAGGGCTTCACAGATAGCTGCAAAATCCAAGCTGAGTTTTCTGAGGGCTCTGTCCTATTCCTCTGCAATAATCAGGCGGGGAAATTGTCAATGATCTGAAGCAACTTCATTCAGCTGTAACATGGGATCCAAGCTCCGCATTGAAATTTTTCATTAGGAGTAACAAGCACTGGGAGCACAAACTGCAGGGCTGACATGCAAAAGCAGGAGTATATCCTCTAATGAGACCAATTTAATTGTCCATTTTATTACTCTTATATTGATTCTGTTAAGTCCCAGTGCTATTCTTAGTGCAGTACGAACCTTGAAATACAACAGTTTCCACTGTTGAGAATTTATTCCCTGGTCCTTAAAGTATTCAAGCACCTCTCTTGCTCAGGGCCTAACTCCTCCATGCAAGCAGCACACAGACTTTCCCAGCCTCCATGCAGCTACCACCTAACGCCGCAGGTATTAAAATCCCCAGCGTGCCCGGGTGGCCACAGGCTGGTGCCTGCTTGGCACGGACACTATCCTGCAGTGACCAGCAGCTCCGGGCCACGGGCCAGCGATCCCAGATGACCCAGACCAGGACCTTTGTGCATCTGGGATGAATGTCCCTTCTCCAGCACTTCCCAGCTGGAAGCCTCTCCCTGGGACGAGCTGGGGTGCTCAGAGCAGGGAAGGAACAGTGGGC